GATTTCTGGTGCGACCAGGAATCCGAGGATGTGAAGGAGCGGACAGAGCGGTTGATCGCCTCCATTCGCATCACCATCTTCCGCTGGGTTCGGAAACACAGGAGCTAACACAGTAGCTCTCCATGGATAGGTCCAAGCAGTCCAAGGCTCCGGATATCACAATATATCACAGATTATCACAGCCATATTCGGATCTATTAGCTGCTGAATGCTGCTTATAGTTTTAACGGTTTGTTCAGTTGGTGAATTGAATCATTTTTTTCAGACAGAATCAATGAGGTAGGCAGGTAAAGGATACCACCAAATTTACAGACTCCACAGCTTTGTTGGCTAAATCCGAAAATGATTTCCATTTTTTTCTGACACGGTGACCATGCCTTGAGGTGAACCGTGGCTTGTTTGAAGATCACAAGCAGCTTGGAACTGCACCATGTGATGGTGTGGGTAGACGAGAGAATTCACTGGTGAGAAGATGGTAGAAGATTGTGTTTCTTATGTTTATTGATCTTGAAAAACTTCAACATATTCTCATCTGGGCGCAGACAATATTATCCATCATCCACGCCAAGTTGTTGGAGGACTTCACCATGTTTCACCATGTTCGCCATCCATTTTTTTGTGAAAACAGGAGGTTCCCAGGTTCCTAAATCCTCCAAATCGCGGTCAGAAAATGGTGATTGCTCCAAGGCTGATCTTCTGCTGTATGCTGTCCTTCCGGCTGCTGCAACTCCGGCAGTTGGAGGTGCTGCGGCACCATGTTTTTTCCTGGTCAAGTGCATCATTTGGAAAAACAAAACACAAAAAGAACCAGTTAACAGATGTCAGCTAATTATTGATCTGTCTGTATATTGGCATTCACAACATCACCAGTTGATAATTTGATTGTCTTGGAAGACACCTCCTACCCATGGGACCAGGAGTATGTGCCTGCGCATTTTTCCTTCCTCCTGCGGGGGCCATCTGTGGGAGACTCAAGTGCAGCAGCCAAGCCCAGATCAAAACAGTTTCCATACTTTATATAAAATGTATGGAATTTACCTCATTGGGAGGCCATTAATGGGGAAAATGAAGACATATTGTGCCTGGGCACACCTGGAAAGTGCGTGAATAAATCGGCCCCGATCTTTCAATGGCAGCTGTTTGCACTTCTGGGACAGCCTCAGGGTCAGCAGTTGATGAGGTCCCTCATTTGGCAGAGAATCCCCTGTCGGATTGGCTGCCGGACAAGAGCTGGGTTTGGGAGCCCCAGATCAAAACGAGTTCTGATCTGCTTTGGCTCAGCGAAGAGTGAGCAATTTTGAGGAACCACCAGCCTGTCACTGAAAAAAAAAAAATACATGACAGGGGCTGTCGCCCTGCTGCCACTGACCCCCGGAACCTGTTAAACGAAGGGAGCTAGAGGAGGCACATCTTTGAAAGTATGAGAGAAGCAGGGCCGACCCACAAGAAAACCCACACAAAGTCTGGCCAGATGAGACCCAACAAATGAGAATATCCGTACCCATCATTTTCCATGAACAATCATGAACATATTGATTTCATGTGATCCTTGAACATCCTTGAACATCCTTGAACTATGCCACAATGATCGTAAGGCTGTGGGTAAAACATGAAGAACTCCACTCCATTGCCACTGTGCCACTGTGCCACTGCCATCTGCCAGGCGATGGTCCTGAAGTTGGTGGAGCTGGAGGGCTTCGAAAATTTTGCGTCGGCTACCCTGGAGACATCTGGAGACGGGGATGTGAAACCAAGAAAACACAACCGTTGGGTCCGTTGGGTCAACCTTTGTTGAGAACGATCAGTTCCTTTTTTGGGGCGAACTGGCCAACTTGAGAAAACCAAATTCAAGTTAAGGATGCGAATCAAATATATTCAAATGGATGTGGGTCAAAATGGAAGACCTAGGGGACCACAGATGTTAGTCTAGTTTAGTATTAACCATCCAATTATTGGGGTACCCAATTTTGACCCATACCCAAATATTAACAGTATCAGAGTATCACGCAAAATTGGGAGCAATGGCGTTGATTTGGGGGTTGGGATTTTGATTTCTTGGAGCTTCCCACCATTGCGGAGTCACCCCTGAGATTGCTGAGGCAGAACATGGAGCGTGACGCGCCCAATCGCTAGGATCTCAGGGCAAGGATTCACTGATCCACGTATCCCAGCCATAGTCTCCTTTAGATTTGAGAGATTGATGCAGGTGCATATGTTGCATGACAAGAAGTGTCCTGTTTTCACATATGTTTCTATGGGATTTAAACGAGTTTTTTCTAAAAAACATTTACCTTGCCAAAGATCAATGCATTGACTCAGGTTTTCGCGACTGGATGGCAGAGCTTGCTCCAGAGGTGCAGATTCTTTGATGGACCAATTTTTTGGGTCTGAACTGGCCTCAATTCTTGGGTCCTGGGTGAGAAAACGTTTGAACATGATGATAAATCGGGCAAAAGCATGGACATTCCATAAATGATGATCAGGTACAAGTAATCAATTCAGTCGCGGCGATGCCAACCAATCTTTTGGCTGTTTCTTTTTGCCTAGAGGAACATTTATGGAATAGGTGCAGCTGCCATGTACCCTTAAGGTATGTACCATTTCTTTTAGATTTTAAAGTAGCCAAACATTGCCTTTCTTTCTCAAAGACTAGAACATCAGATAATGTTTGCTCTGCGGCCAGGAAGCCAAACTGCCACTGGATTGGAAGACGCTGGATAACAAGTACTTCAGGCATCTCAGCTCGCTGAAAATGATGAGAACTTGAGATTTTGAGATGACTAGAAAGAGATGCATACGATGACATCATTTTAGCTAAGTGACTAAGTGACTACGTGACTAGTTTCATGCGTGGCCAGGTTGGCACTGTGAATGCTCAGATGTATTTCAGCTGTCTTGCCGAGTGCATCAATTGCCATTGGGACCATCATGTCACCAACGCCCGAGCCCAGGAAACTGCTGGGAACTCAGATCCGCAGTCTACCGCACCCTGAGAGCCCAGAATTTGGCAATTTGGATAGAAGTCATATGCCACTGGATTCTTGGTACACTATTTTCTAAGGTTTTGTGTTCAATCTCACAATGGCTGGTTATTCTTGGTAATCTCCACAAGAGTTGTTTCACTTCCCCATGATTGATTTGCTTAGCTACAGCTATTTTGGTCCTGATTTTGCTTCCGAGTTTCTTGGTGTCTTGGTGAAATTCCTTCAACGCTCCAGGGCTATCATCCACTTCTCCTCCAGAAAACAAACCACCCAGCAATTGCGTTTTGATGAACTCGGAATACCATCTTTTTCAGAATATAAGCATTGCACATTTGAGTCCAGAACACCCACCACAAATAGTGCATTTTTGAATATTTTTGATCTGCAATCATCCATGAATCATCCAATTCATACGCCGGTGAGTTACCCAGTTGACCCAGGTTGGTAATTCGATGCCTGCGCCCGGATCGAATGTCCTCTGCATTGGCCAAATGGATCAGGACGAGAAGGGCGAAAGACGTGGTGAAGAAACAATAAAAGACCTCCAAGAAGTATGGGTTAAAACGGTTAAAACATGTTCGCTGCAACCCCTAGGTTTGCCCGCGGCCAATCCCGCATATCCTTTGACATGCTCAAATCCTGCGCAGGGTTTAAGTTTTTTACTTTCCAAAACAACAAACACCAAAACCCTAAAACCTAAAACCCTAAAACCTAAATTTAAACCCTAAATCCTGAAAACTTAAAGTCAAAATCACTGCGTATAGCCAGTGTTTTCATTCATCCTCTGGTGATATATTGTTTGGATGTGTTGTTTGAGTGTGGGCGAACCAGGGGGTTGCGGGGAACATATTTAAACCAACACAAATGATGAAATTTAAGGATATAACCATGCAGGTAGAGAAAGTGATGATGATTAGAGAGATAATGAAAGTAACTTTAGCTCAGAAACCGCTCCAAACAACCCGGTTTGGTGAATTCTTGGCTCCGAACGTGAGCATCGCATGATATGATTGCATGTCATCTTTTTGTGATGTATGATTATATGTACATTATATACTACTATAATATACTATATATATATTATATATATATATATATTCAAAAGATTACAAAAGGGTCACAGGAGGATCTTTTGTTACAGTAAACGTCTTCGATGGTCCGGTGCGACAGGCAAAGCCTCCCCAACGGCAGAGCTTTCATCGACTGTGATGCCTCACTGTCCTTCTACAAGGTCGTCACTGTTATCGGATTTCCGGGAATATACACAGCATACCATACAATGTATTTCTAAATCGTCTATACCATGTTTTCCCCAAGCATGTCCAATCACATACTCCCTCAAAACAATTCTGGAATATCGGATGTTTAATTGTCGTAGTTTCTAGTTTTGGTTCACTTTGACCATGCATGGTGGTTTGGATAGGTGCTTTTCTGGTTCAACCACCAGATGGTTCAGTGCCATTGTTGGAAAGAGAAACTCATTGTAATTGCTGTTTATTTTTCCTTCTTATTGCAACTGTTTTTTTTTGTAGCAGAAAAGTGAACACATGGCAGTTGTCAAAACTAGCAGTCCATGAGCATTCTCCAATAAAACGAAACACTACAAATTCGAATGACTTCAGCGTGGTTCAGTTGCAGTATGTTCCACATTATCGTTTGAGTACCTTGCAGATTCTAGTGGAAATATATACATTCATAATATATGGTTGGATATGTTTTTTTTACCATTTTTCTTTGGAAATGACGAAACTACAAAGCTTCATCATCAAGCACAAAGCAAGTCTTTGAAGCTACGTCGCCAGTGACTGCAGGTGCTGAACTCTTCTTACGAGGACCTGTGTGGATGTCACTTGCGCATCTTCAGAGCATTGTGTGGCCGCCAGTACTACGCAGTACAGTTTCTGCATTTGCTACTTTCATCATCTTTCATCATTCATCAAGTATACTGAGTCTCTCTTCCATGGTTTTGCAGCATCTTTGTGTCAAGTGCATGTGGCTGCCTCTTGCCTCCGACCTCAACGAATCTAGAGGTCGTAAAGTGTACTAGGGATCAGCGATGGCCGGCCCGCAGACGTCGCAAGTCTTGATGCCTTGCAGCAAGCCTTGTGGAAACTCGGAGATTGACACGAAAGAGAACGACAAAGGAAAGATGCAGCGGATTTCTCACATTTCTCACATTTCTCATGGTCCGTTGGTGGAAAAGATGCCTTTGCCAGGCTTTGTGAAGCGGGAGCTTCATGAGCAAGGCAGATGTGAGCCGTGCCTCTTCATGCACAAAGCTATGGGGTGTTGGTATGGAGACGATTGTCGCTATTGCCATTTCTGCACTCCAGAACAAATGCAAAAGAAGCAGAGCCGAAGATTCTACATGGAAAGGGCTCTCCGAAAGGACCGAAAGGAGAAGAAGTTCGACCACGCACAAGGAGCACCTCCTTGTGATGTCACGAGATGTGCAATGAAAGATTCTGAACCATCTTTTGTCGTGAGAATACATGACATACTAATGTGATCAATATGTGATCAATATGTCCAAAAGTGCAAAAAGTGCAAGGCAACTCTTCACGGCCAATTTGTTTTTGAGCTCGTTCACAGGATCAATCACATATATCACATGGATCAATGTCCTACACTTGCATCATTTTGCACCAGAGGCAGCCCAAGTTCAGGCGGTTGAGCTTGCCATGAGCGCAGGACAAGGCATTGAAAGCAAGGTGAAAGTGTGGCTATGAAGAAAGCTGTGATCCTGAGATTGCATCCCGAGCTGTCGTTTTGACTCAGAATCATTCTTGTTCATGTTGCAAGACGTTGCAAGTGTGCAAGTGTTTTTGGGACAGAGCTGGGAGGATAGTGTGAAAATGTGTGAAAGCAGCATGCAACAGCATGCAAAGTCCACACATGACAAATGTGTTGTCAAATTTCCATGTCACAACGAGTCACAACGAGTGACTTCTAAGGACTGAGCCCATGTGAGCTTCAGACCAGCGCTTGACATCGGCAATGTTCATGAAACAACAGCCATTTTGATCCATTTTGCTTGTTTTTGGCCCCAGGAAATAGAAGTCGAGGCCCAGTTGTGGCATGTTGCAATTCGTTGCCATTGGTTGCAAGACGTTTGCAATTGAGGGTGGGCGCCCCTCAAACAGCACATAGTGATATAGGTTGCCTGGATGATACAAATCTTCAGGTCCGAACGTGGCAGGCGAAGGGCATTGTTAGGGGAAGATGTAAGCACAACAGAATGCTTCCTGGAAGGTTTTTTCTTTGCCACGTGCCCTGCGCAGTTTCACAAGCAGCGTGCATCGAGAAGACGCACGGATTTGGCTGGTGCCCCAATTTGACCATCATCGACAAACCCGGTCTGCCGGATCTGCCGGTGCTTGTCTCTTCCAATGAAGCCTTCAACTTGGCTCTACCTGACGCTCTAAAGAATTCTAAAGATCCAGTTGGCTTCAATCATAGATCATGCAGACATCTACCACAGGATCCATAGTATCATAGGTGCCATTCTTGGAAATCAAACACATTGAAGCCAGCAGGAGTGGTGTCTTGTGTCTATGGCTGGAACACTTGAGCAGAAGGGTCTTCCAGGATGAGTGCAAGCAGAAAGTTGCAGATTTGATGTCTGTTTTTTTAAAATGATTTTATGGTGTCGCTTGCCCTTTCCAATGTCTGAACGGCCGTTGGTGGAGCATGCTTTTGTTGAGACTCAAGTTGAGACATTGCTCTGTTGCAGCAAGACACTTCAAGACACATCGATATCACCTTCACAAAGGGGCACGTTCATAGGCTCTCCCTTTGAGGCATGCACTTTGAAGTTCTGAGCCTACTACAAACGAGCCTACAAGTACGGATAGCACGGATAGTACGGATAGTACGGTGTGCACGAGCAAAAGGTACGGTGCTCTTTTTGGACTGTTTGGAATCTATAGATTCAGCAGATGTCTTGGGACGATGCCAAGAGGCAGCAATATGATCAATATGCAGCGATCAACAGAGAGCAACGAGTCCGGAATCATGGAAAGTTTGGATAGGTCAAATTTGTGGTGCTTAGTCCTATATACATCGTTTGAGTTGGTTCATGTTGGTTCATGTTGGTTCATGTTGGTTCATGTTGGTTCTGTTATTCTTTTTGGGATTCTTTTTCGGTGAATCCACTCTTCAATGGCAGGACTCCACGAGCACCACACCCTTCTTCTTCATCCTCTCCCCAGGGGCGGATCCGGTAAAGGAGGCGGGGCAAAGCAAGGAGGTGGTAAACTTCGTTGATTCTTTGTGTTTCGTTGTTGTTTCTGAGACTTCGAGGGAGAAACTGAGAAACCGTGGATTTTTTGATACGACGGTATACATCTGGTGAAATTTGAAGAGCGTATTCTTGAGTTGAAATTGGCTGAAGCTGTGAATATAACCCAGGTGACATTTCTGAGGTGGAACCTTCCGATCATTCCGAGGTGGAAGCTTTGGGGAAAGTGATGATTGGTTTACAAGCCAATGTGAACTATCACAACGTGGCCATGGGCCAGGGGCAGGAGCCTGACCGGGGCCTGACCTGCTGGATGCATCAGCACATATCAGCACTGTCCAACAAATACTGGTTGACTGGTTGTGTAGAAAAACCTGGTGCTGACAGCTACAAACATCAGATGTTATTGTTTCATATTTTTTCCATCGCTACCCAGATATATGATTCAAATGATCATCTCATTTGATCGACACCAGGATGAAATTGCGCTGCAAAAGCTGGAGTTAGGATCCAAGGAAGGACATTGGGTCCCGGACTCAGTTGCTGGGAAAAAACACACACTGAAATTTGCGAGTCATTGCTGCTGCATCCCAAAGTCTGAGATATTGAGTGATAGACCCAGGGTTTGGGATGGTTTTAAGATGTTTTAAGCATTAATTTTCTACATGTTCTTTTCCAGCAAGATTGAGACGAAACATACACGATCGCAACAGCTGGTGATTCCTCTTTTGCTGGGTCTGAACACGTTGTAATTGTTGCACTCCCAAACAGCATCTTTCAATATCTTTCAGTTAGTTTCTCGCCCCAGGTGATGCTGCAAAACATTCATTTGATGCCGTCGTGGTGCGTCGATTGCTCAGCGATTTTGCTCAGCTGGTGGATTGGCAAGACCGATTCTCAAGGGGATTGGCAATGGCAGGAAGCCCATGGAAGCCCCCCATTGGGAAATTCTCTAAATGTCCAGAAAGGCTAATCAGAAATTGCGAGTTGACTGCTTTGCGTTTCTTGAAAGTTGGCACTAAATTGTGAGTTCTGGAGACTGCCGGTCTTCGGTCGCAGATTTGTTGAGGCTGTACTGGAGAAGAGATTGGATGCCTATGCTGTCGAGTGAAAGCCTCAGCATCTCAAAGCTCAAAGCACTGCAGCTGAGCTGCAGCTCTCTAAGTACCTCTAAGTGGTCAGAAAGTGGTCAGAAAGGCAGCCTATGCCCTATCGAATGACCAATGGACGACCCAACATGTCTATCACAATCGATGACATGTCTTCACGGTTTTGACGCCATTTTTGCGTGACCTTTTTGTATTCCAATCTTTTCCACCCATGAACCGATGAACCGATTCCAACAGGAACAGCAATCCCTACTTCCGACTCTTCCTCTCAGCCGATCCTTCGTGGGGATCCCTGAGCGAAGTTCGATTTTTTGGAGACGGGGCCTTGATGGGCCTTCAGGGATGGTCATCATTGGCTGAAACAAAAGGCAGATGGTCAACAGATGGTCAACAGATGGTCAACAGATGGTCAACAGATGGTCAACACGCTTAATGCCACACCTAGGCTGGGATTTTTGGTTGGAAGTTTCTAATGCGATATCAGGCCATATCAATCTGTCAGTGACAATATCATGATATCATTGTCAACCGTATGTCAACCATAAAGCCCAAAGAAGATGAGGTCTTCAACCAACCGCAAGCCTAACCCCTAATCATCCCTAATCCAATTGTCATTAACATGAAGCAACATTTTTCTCATGAAGCAGCATCTTGGTATATCTTGGTATATCTGGGTTCATTGGATTTATTGGATTTATTGGATTCATCATGGAAAATTAACACCATGGCTAGGCGCCATGTGGCGCATTCTGGCGCCAGATGTCGCCAGGGTGGGGATCCCCATCGGCCTCCTGGAGCGCTCGATCAAGTTGACCAACGAACCGCCGCAGGGGCTGCTGGCGAACCTCAGGACACGACCTGACCATAACCCGGACACCGGACGTCGGAGAAAACGTCTCGGAAAATGCTGGACACGTTTCTCATAACGTCAAATGTCGGAACCAAACATGTCGGAAAAGTTGCGAAAAGACCTGATTTGAGTCATGTTTGATATATATATATATATATTTGATGATTTTGGGAATTGTTTCTTGTTGGTATCAGAAAGTGGCATCAGAAATGGCTGCTGAAAATCATTGATGTCATCCTGGCAGGAGATCCTTTGCCCTCTTCAACCGTGAGGAGTTTGATGAACGCGACAGCAAGATCAAGTTGGGTGACCCAGTGATAAACAGTTGCTGTTGGGCAATTGTCAAGCCACTGCAAGCATTGGGGTACATGATATTGTTGTTGTGTGGATCTAACTGGCATACGAATGTCACATGTCTAATCCTCCAAAATGATTGAGGTATGGATGTGAACAAGCATTGAAGCCTGAAGTCAAGTAGAGCCATACATATGCTTTGGTAGTGACATGGCATAGGAAAACAATCCATTTTCAAAATATGATTCAATTGTTAGGGTTTATTCATTGAAGGCGTGCCATTTCCATGGTAGTTTTCATTGCCATAGTGCAAGCAAAATACGCACCATATGCTAGGTTTGGCTGCCTGTATGACTTGTGGTAAAACATGTCACCACAGTGCATGCATGTGTACTCCGCAGCCCCAGTGGACCATTCGAAGTGGCACAAAACAGTGAGTCCGCTTTTCGCATGGTAGCGGAGCTCGTTCCTGACCGATCAGGGCCGGCATCCGCAGACGGTTTACACCGCCCGTAAGAGGCGGGTAACACCGCAAACAGCTGTGCTTGTAGCAGCGTTTGCGCCTCGTTGAGTTCGAGGAGAAGAAGACTGGTAGCTGCGTGTGGAGCAGCACCTGGACCTCTCCGACGAGAGGACAAATCCCCGGCAAGACGGGGAAGGGAAAAGCAAAGGGTCAAGGAAAAGCCCAAGAGAGAACCAGGTCCGCCCGAGCCATAGAGCGGCGGATACTACGTGGGGCAGCAAGGCGTGCAGAAGGCTTGCTGAACACCACTGTGGAAGCAGCCAGCGGTACGACCAACAGGCCGGACCACAACGAGCTGGACTACGTGGAAGGCTTGAGACTTCAGGCCGTTCCAGAACAAGAAGTACCAGAGTTTCTGGACGTGAACAGGACTGTGGTTGGTGGTCTGCCAACACACGGCAAAGCAGGAGGAGCGACCAAGCGCGTGTGGGGGAAGTTCGAGAAGGACTACCCGAGCCTCGCGAAGGTCGTACAGTCTACACCGGGTGGAAAGGCGAGAAAGTCCTTTGCCCAGGAAGAAGGAGGTCGACGAGTAGCACAAGGACTCGTTGCACCTAGGGCACAAGTCGTGCCAACCACACTGCCACCGCCTGAGCAGCGTGGAGAAGAAGAAGTAGGAGAAGAAGAAGAAACGCACGCGGCAACTAGCGTGTGGTACTCTGTGGACGAGTTCGGGAACTTCAAGGAGGAGGTCGACGACTCGCCCGAAGAAGAGGAAAGGCCGAAGACCGAGCAAGCGTCTTCAGCGGCAAGTAGCAGCTCAGTGGGTGTCTCCGAAGTCGCCCGAGCTGTTCAGGACCTAGAGCTGAGGAGTCAGAAAGCCTCAGAAGAAAGAAACCCAGAAGGTCGAGAAGAAAGACGGGACTACCAACGTGAGGAGTTGGAGGACCGTGAAGGACGGGACTACCAGCGTGAGGAGTTGGAGGACCGTGGAAGCAACTGGAGCGAGACAGCTTCCAGTAGCTCTACAAGCTGGTCGAGGAGTACCTGGAGTAGCAACTGGGGAAGCGACCAGTCGAGGGCTTGGGCCGGACGCAGGTGGTCGGAAGGGTATCACCTAGGCTGGCACAGAGGCTGGCATCGAGGCGGGTAATACCGCTGGAACGGTAGGTTCCAGTAGGTACCCCTTGCCTGCCCAATAGGGGCATCTGTACACTAGAAGTGTAAATAGCCTCGTGTACCATAGCCTATAAAGATGGCAACGGTAGAACAGTTGCAAGCACAGCTCGCGCAAATGCAAGCGCAGCAAAACCAATTGGTGGAAGGTTTGCAACGTGCGAACCAAAGTTTTGAAAGTCAAGCAAGACGGTTGAACGAAACTGAAACGAGACTGCAAGAACAGACGGACAAATTGACCCGGACTGAAACGGAGCTAGCGCAAAGGACACAGGCGCTGGCACAGCAAACAACACAACTTGCCCAGGCTCAGCAAGCACAGGCAAGCAGCACACAACCAGCTGGGGTAGAAATGACAAAACTGATTCACCCTAGCAACGTCCCAAAGCCGCAAGTTTGGGATGGTAAAAGAGAAGGATGGGAAAAGTTTAAACATGTGTTCGTAGCATGGAGTTCCACTGTTCACCCCAAATACCCTGAAATGTTGGAAAAGTTTGGGGAAAGTAAGGATCCCTTGGATGATGCTATGCAAACCCCTGAAGAGGATTTGTTGGCCAAGGCGATGTATACGTTTCTCGTACAGTACTGTCCGGAGCCTACGATGAATGTAGTGGGTCAGGGACTGCACACAGCCAATGGATTTGAGGTTTGGCGCAGACTGGTCAGACTGTCTGAGCCATCGTACAGAACCAAGGCATGGGTTTGGAGAAGACATTTGAGTAACCCCAATTTCCCAAAAGACATAAACAATTGGAGCACTGCACTCCATCAGTGGGAATCAGAACTAAGGGAGTTTGAACGAACCTCCAAGAGTGTTTTCTCAGAAGAGGAAAAGGTCTCGATCTTAGCGCATGTAGCACCTCCAGAGCTTCAGCAGAGCATCTTTATGCACAGCGACGCGTTGGGCACTTACGCGAAGATTCGAGACTACATCGAGCAGTACCTCATCAACAAGAACGTTTGGAAGAGACCGCAAGGATCCCAGTTTGGAATCACTAAGGCGGCAAACAAGGTTGATGATGGAGGACCAGCACCCATGGACATCGGTGCGGTCAAAGGTAAAGGAAAAGATGACAAAGGAAAAGGAAAGAGCAAACACAAAGGTTCTTGGAACAACGACAAAGGTAGCAAAGGTGGAGCAAAAGGCAAAGGTAAAGAAGACAAAGGAAAAGGAAAAGGACACGAAAACAAGGGTACAGGTAAAGGAAAAGGTGATGGAAAACAAGGTGGCAAAGGAAGTCAGGTGAATAATCCTGATGCCGGAAAGAAATGTCACGTATGCCAGAAGTACGGACATGTCGCAAAGAACTGTTGGTGGAAGGTATCATCTGTGGATGAAACCACAACCACCACGGGAAATACCGCCAACAAGACCGAAGGCAACAACAACCAAACGAAACAGAACCCAAACAGTGGAAACGGAGTTGGATCGGTTTCAAACATCAATTTTGGTGAACATGACCGATACTGTTTCACTGTCAGGGATGCTCAGGTCAGTGCATTGTCTGAGAGCGGTGAATTCAGATATCTTTTGGTTGACTCAGGAGCATGTGAAAACGTTGCCAAGTATGGGGATTTTGTTGGACCGGTTGATTCCACAAAAGGAAAACCTTTATTTGGTGTTCAAGGGAACCCACTCAAAATATATGGAAAGCAATCTCCCAAAATTGAAGTCGGGAACTTAAAAGGACTGATGGACATGACTGTGACTGACTCAGCGGAGAGTTTGCTGTCAGTTTTCAACATGGTGGAAAAGGGTCATGCCGTGCATTTTGAAAAGAACAACTGTCATTTGGTTACGAACCAGAATGAAAGGATTCCATTGGAATTGCATGGAAAGAGATGGTATTTGAAAGTGAAACATGATCAACAAAGTTCGTCAAGTTCAGGAAACGGAAATTTGAGAACACAAAGAATAGCACCAGTCAAAGGAGTCAGGTTTGAAGAAGAAAAGGAACCTGATACCTGGAGAATGGAGACCAATGAGGAAGGAGAATTCGTGGTTCGTGTGCACAACACAGCACGATTCCAACTATTCAGCCCAGAGCGAATGGCTGATCTTCCTGTTCCAATCAACCGACTACTACCTGGTCGACTTACCAAGATCTATTTCCCCGAAGATGGATCGCATGTGGAAGACCAGAGTTTGTGGACAAGAAAACAGACATCTGCCAAGAACATGGGCAGAGAGTGGCTGGGAGAATCGTGGTTTAGATTGAAGCCAGAGACTGAAATTCCTGAAAAGAAGGATGCAGAGATTGAAGAAGCAAAGAAAGTTGAAGGAGTACGTGGCCCAGACCAAGACATGGATGAGTTCTTTTTGGATTGGGTGTACGTAGAAGATCGAGTACAACCAGATCCAATTGATCAAGATCAAGCCGAACGTGAAGTGTTTCGAGAGCAAAGACAGCTTCATGAAGAAGAAGAAGTGAAAGAACAAGCACAGGAGGTAGATGTACCAAAGGCACCGAGTGCACAACAGCGTGAGGAGCACAGACTTCATCATGCAAATTTCGAACCTTGGTGTGAAACTTGCATCAAAGGACAAGGACGAGATGCACCTCACAGAAGAAGTAAGGAGGACAAGAAAGAACACATCATCTACTCCGACTACATGTTCTTCAGTGTGGATGGTGAGATGGTGAATAGAAGTGAAGGAAAGAAGCAGAAAGGACTGATCACAGTGCTGACGGCAATTTGCAAGGACAGTCAGTATCCCTTCGCCATGGTGGTCCCATCCAAAGGAGGAGGGTACTACTCAAGGGATGCGTTGGCAGCTTGGATCAGAGATCTGGGATGGAACAAAGTGACAATACAAATAGATCAGGAAAATTCCATGAACAAGTTGTTTGACAGAGTGAGGGATCTCATGCCGGAAAGAGTAGAGATTCGGAAATCACCACGGTATAGCTCACAGTCTCTTGCAGATGGAGAAATGGTGAATGGACTGATAGCTGGAAAGATTCGCACATGGCTGTGTGAGTTGTCTGAAAGCTATGCAACGAAAATTGGAACCGAGCACTACGTGTTCCCATGGATCGTGCGTCACAGCGCATGGACTTTGGCAAGGTTTCATGTCAACAAGAGCAAGACCACAGCGTTTCGTGTGATAAAGGGCAGAGACTACGTGGGTGAGTTGATACCATTTGGAGAGACAGTGATGGGAAAATTTCCAAAGGTGAAAGACAAATCTGCACCTCGATGGACAAAAGGAATCTATGCAGGAAAGAAAGAAAATTCAGATGAGCACATGATGTTGACAAGTGCCGGAGCTATTAGTTTCAGAACAGTCCGAAGATTGCCAGTTGGATCACAGTTCCAAGATGCTGTGATGGAAGTTGCGAGAGGAGTCCCATGGAATACAGTGTTGGGAATCGAGAAAACAAAGCCGGAAGCAATCTCATCGGAGGTGAAAGCTATTGTGGCACCAGAAATCGAAGGACAGGAAACCTATGATTTCGAGGACAAATCGAAACAAGAGAACGAGCCGATCTTTGATGACAGACCAGAAGCAATGGCGAAAGCCAAGGTGGTTCACATACCACAACCTATTGTACCACCATTGCGGAATGCACCAAGATCAGCTCCAAGTACACCGAAAGGAGGGAAAGCGCAGAAGAGCACAAAGAAGGAAGACAAAGCACCAGAGATGCAGGTGGACGATGAAGGAGAGAGAATCGAGATTGAAGAAAAGGATTCCAAGAAGCCACGACTGGCAGAGGGTACAACCTCTAGTGCCGTACCGGGCGACACCGGAATGAATCCAGGACAACCTGAACTGTACCGCATAGACACACCAACAGATGACAACACGAGTGCAGCGGGCACAGCATCTCAGGACATGGTTTCTGGAGTCAGTAACGGTGAAGTTCCAGATGCGGAAGAAATGAGGAAGAAATACCATATGCCAGTAAACAAGGACCATGTATGGTTTCAGAGGTGGCTAGATGAGAGAAAGGAGTACTTCCAGAGTGAAATGGTGGCAAACATCATGGACTACCTGGACCAAATTGGAGCAGCAGAAGAAGAACAAAAGAAAGCTCGAAAGACGGAGATCAAGAAGCTGAACGAGGACTTTGGAGCATTTACACCGAGAGATGGAAGATTGATTCCAAAGGAAATAACAGTGTTTGGTCATAAATGGGTAGATAAGGTTAGTGAAGGAATTGCAAAGTCAAGGTTGACATGTCAGGATTTCAAACGAAAGGGACAAGATAGTGACAGAAACACGTCGGAAGCACCAAGCAATTTTTGTCCGACACCACATGGATGTTCCAGAAAACTGTTGGAAGTCTACAGTATGGCAACAGGACTACCACGAGTGAAAGCAGATCTCACATCAGCGTTTCTGATTGCCAATGACCAAGGTGACAAGACAGGACAACCTGTGATGATGAAACCACCTAAGGAATGGCTGGAAGACTACGACGATTGGTATTTGTTGCAGCCCAAGGAAGTTCAAGAAGAACTCAAGGACGTTCCTAAGGAACATATCCTGTGGCAAGTGGATGGCAACTTGTACGGACGTCAGTCAGCAGCAGCACAGTACAGAGACAGATTAGAAGAAATAATCACTAAAGAGTTACCACCAGAACAATATGAGTTTCAGCGAGGAGCAATCGATGGATGTGTGTACAAATGTGAGAAAACAGGAACAGTGCTGATTCATCACATAGATGATTTCGACATTTGTGGACCCGAGAAAGTTTTGAATGATTTGCTGATGATTCAATTTCCAAAGAACGGTTGCAAGCTGAAAATGGGAGAGATGGAATACCCGTTTGTAGGAAGTAAAACAACTTCAGAGTTTCTTGGAAGGACCAAGATCAATGTCGAAGAAGCCGTGATCACGAAACCAACCGCGAAACATGTAGAGGTGATACTGAAACAATTGGGTTTGGAAAATGCCAAGCCTGGACCAGTGCCAGGAAAGAAACTTGACCTGACACAGGACAAATTGTTGGACGAGAAACAGAAAGCGATATATGCCAGTTGTGTGGGAAGCGCAATTTACTTATCTCAGGACAGACCAGACATAAAGTTCAGTACCAAGGAATTGGCAAAACGCATTCGGGAACCAAGG